CTCGTCAAGTGCGCTGTCGCTTTTCGAGCAAATGAACTTCTGCTCATTTCTGAAAAGAAAATATTTATACATTTCCATTCACTGGAGTTTCTCCTGGTGCAGTTGCACCGAATATTCTAAATCCTGCATTTTTGTAGAACCGCAAATTTTTCGGGGCCACATGTGAGCGAAGAATGAAAAGGTTTTTTGCAAGGCATCATTTTGTCACAAGATTTAAATAAAAAACTTGAAATATTCATTTTATACCATTTTGCAGCGGTTCTGAAGTAATATTTGAAACAAACAAAAGGCGTATTTCTCGCGTTGCCATTCGATTAATTGCTGTTATTCACTGAAAACAGTTTTTCTAAATTTCTATCGGCATCGATTGTCGTATATGACGTTATTTCAGAACTGGAGTTCCATTTCTGACATAATTAAACCCATTGTTCCATGATGGTGATCGCAACGATCTATCAAACTCGTTTGAAATTTTATACGTATAGGAAGCTCATTAGAAATCTATTCTATTCCCAAGGTTTCATATTTCTTGAAAGCGATAATTCTTATTTTTTGCGGCGGCAAGCTTTACCATACATTTCAAAGTTCGCATCGCGTCATTCCTTTTATAGTTGTCACACCGCTCTAATGAATATTCACCTTCAAAATTCTTAAAATCAGCGTCCACCCCCCAAACTTCCATGCTTTTGTCAGTCTGATCTTCCTACGACCCTGATTACAATTTTGAAGCTTAAAACCTGCAAAACTCCCCAAAATCCGATTTTTTGGGTCCTTGCAAAAGACAGACTACATTCAATACCTGGTTGGGCGGAGCTTGGTAGGCTGGGCGTGGTTATGGGTTCCATGGTTCCAGGTCCATTATCTCCATTCAGAAACAACACAGGAGGACCCCAGCAACGCAGATCCTGGTTTTTCTGGGGCCTACATATAGACTAAGTACTAGTCAGAGCGGCTTAAGTTTTGACTTTAGAAATAATTTCCGCTTTTTTCTCAATTTTTTATGTTGGTGTACTTAGCGAGGGAACATATCCGAAATTTGGTTTGATTCTACAGCCAAGTTCTTCTTGATCATTTAGCAAATTTCACGAATTGTGTTACTACCTTTTTTCTTGAAATCTGATAATCCTTGTCGAATGACGGGTCTGTGATGTACTTAGTAGGGGAGGGGGGGGGGGGAGTTCAAATTGGTTGCGTTTGTTCTGCTAACTCACTAAGTAAAGTGATAAAGTGACCGTCTTGATAAAATTCAGTGTTTTTAACAGCCATAAGGATCATTGAGGATCTCATTAAATGGCTTTGGGGAAAAATCTCTTCACTGAATTGCTCGAAAACAATGGAACTTATGTTTTTCATGCCATTTATTTTCTTTGGAGGCTTGCAGCGAGCAGGTCAAAATAGGAATTCTGTACTCAGGAGATGCAGGAATATCTAAAACCATTGTGTTTTCCAAAAGAATTAATGATATGCGAACATTTGTTATTGTTGATAATAAACACTCGAGAACTTTGCAGAACTCCTGACACGAGACGACAGCACATTATTTTCATTTGAAATTTCGAGCAAAATTATTATCTTGAGAATTATAACCAAGCTTCTTTCAGTGATCGCTGAATTTTCTGCAGAAATCCTCAAATGTTACTGCTATTAAAACTATATATCCTGATCTAATTGGACTAATTTCTTAACTTTTTGAACTTATGCGATCAATCATGAAAGCGTTACTTGTCACAAAAAGAAAATATTCTCGATTTCTAAAAATGATAAATGTTTTGACAGGTTACGGTTGTTGATGAATTATCTATTTTGAATCGTAACGTTTCGAGGTCCAGCCATTTGATCGGTGTTTTTTCACACATTTGACACTACCTCGTTGACTTCCGAAAATTCGCATACTTCTTATGAAATAGCTTTGAATAATTCTCTTTTGTCAAAAATTCTGGAAAATTCCCCCAAAACCCTGCAACGAGCTTTACAATGATCAATGAAGCGACTAATTGGCAGTGTAATATAATTATATCTGCAATGGTTAGTTGCAGAAAATTTATTGGATTATCTTTGGCTGTGCTGGTTGCAGGCTATAGTTAGTTTCGTTGAATTTTTGAACATTAAAATTTTATCTCAAGTGGAATTTCAAAAGTTTGAAGTCGCGGGTACTTTATTACTTGATTTGCAATTTTTCTCTGCCTTCTCATAAAGGTTTCGAATGATTGAAAACTTCTAAACTTCAAAAAAAAGTCTGAATCAGACTCTAATTTATATGGGAAGTTTTTCTATTTCTTCTTTGAACCCGCGAGACACTGCAGAAATCGTAGAAAGATCAGCGAACACTTTAAAATGTCATCATCGGACTTCATCGGACAAAATGTTTACGAAGAAGAAAATGGCATTCTTTCAATCAATTCTAGCAATCTTTAAATGTTGGAATTCTTTACGGGGGAGATGATTCAGTGTTGCTTTATAAACTCTTAAGGGGTTCGTTTTCTTCAATCTTTTCGTCATAGATCTATGTGACAGCTTTTATGAACTATCAAGTGGCGGGGTGGGGGGAGGGGTTGGGGGGTTGAAATTTCACTTTTTGTTTTCCTGTTCATCTTCTGGATATCCTCATTAGAACATTTTTAAAAACTTTCTCTCTTCAACTTTTTGAGAAAATGTCGATTTTGTGTCCTGACTTACTGGCGGCATCTAGTCACGACATACTTCCTCATTTTTGCCTCATAAATTTTTCCTAAACATCGCATCCTTATGCGCTAGCTTTGTATAAAATCCATTCTCATATAATTTCCACTTATCAGCCTCATTCTGCTCTCTTCCTCTTTCTTCTTGCAAAAGCGCATAAGCATCTGTTATTATGAATTATCTCTCCACCGAATTTTTTGAAAAAAAGGTAGTTTTTGATATATCCTTGCACTAGAGACAGTTGTTAGCTTGTCTATCAGCCATTTTCGACTTTTTTACCTAATGATTGAATTCATGCAAATGTCTTTGCAAAGTCACGAATCTTCTGCTTTGATCCACGTTTAAAGCCTTTGAAAACTTTAGTGCAAGCAAAGTTTTTCTGACTTACCGCAACCTAAAAATTGCACCAATCAATGCTTGATCGATAACTTCTTTACGTGAATGACTATGATGGATTTTAAGTTTTTCTTGACATTATTTTGAAATCACGATTGAAAGAGTGACACCTATGCGATAATGCTCGTATTTTTTGAAAACGACGCAAAGTCACCTGATTCATATGACATCACCGTGCGTGGCCATACCTCGCTTCAGGGTGGAAAAATTCCTTAAGGGAACCACTGATATATCGAAGTGCCCGCTTGGACAAGTAGGGGATCAAATTCCTCGAATCGTTCCCGACTTTTGCTTATGGTAGGCTGCCCAGTGAGTGCAATGATTAAACACGCCGAATAACCTACCGTAAGCAAAAATCTGAAAGGATTCCTGGAATCTGACTTATACTGTGTCCAAACAAGCACTCTGTATATCAGAAGATGGGCCACGCCAGGCTGAGTCGAATGGTGCCCTTGGACTGAGAATTCGTCCACTTCGAAGCGAGATATGGCCACGCTACGGTGATTTCACATGAATCTGACGACTGCATGTCGTTTTTCATGAAGAAACGAGCGATGTTTTATCTTGCCCATTACTCTGAAATTACAATGGTAGTTTTCAAAGCCCATGCGATGTCATAAATCTAATTGTAAAAAACTGCGGGATTTTGAGAAAGAGTTTATCAGGTCGGCTAATAAATTAGTTCGGTTTTTTGGGACTTCTACATTGCTGCAAATAGATTTTTGTCCATTCGATATCTGTGGAAAGGGGACCTCAACAGAAATTGGAGTATAAATTTCATTCGAGTAAACGCGAAGAAGTGAGAAACCCCATTTTTCTTATCGTATGAGACAATGGTCTACTTTTGAAATGGCAGGTCACAATGTTTGTTGAGATTCTGGAATTTTGGCCATGTAGGAGCAAAACTTCCTTCTCTAATGTTAGAAAATCCTGAACAGTCATGCATATTATTGGGTTGGTCCAAAAGCTCTCTCGCACCATTTTCAAAATACTGTAGCATCTTTGTTCCACAACAATCTTGTACGACAAAAATACGCTTGAAAGTAAAGCCTACACTTTCTAGTGTTATCTTGGCTGCTCCCTAGTAAGCCATCGCCACAGAGATAAAAAATGAAACATTGAATTTTTTTTTAGGTTCGGCGATTTGAGGCAAGCCTGTTAAAAGTTCAGAAACTGTACAATAAAATCCAAAAACAGCCATTTTCAGAGATTTTCTGACTTCTTTTTCCCATCTGAACAAAGTTTGTGCTAATAAGGCTTTTTCAAAAAGTCATGATTTTGGCGGAAAAATGCCAACATTTTGTTAGGAGAACTGATTTTTTGGCGTTTTCGGCAATGGATATTGTGTAAAAAATGACAAGAAACAATCTCTCAGAAAAATTGATTTGTTGGCGTTTTTGGCAATGAAGTTTGCGTAAAAAATACCCCTCGATACAAATTTTCCAATTTTTCTTGAGTTTATGTGACAATAGCTTCATATTCATTATATTATAGAAGCAATTGTGCGTCATCTCTATTTGCACAATTTCTGAAGCTAAGAGTCCGACTCCGTGCCAAAAAATATTTTATCAAATACCGTGGTCCTACAGTAATTGGAAGGGGTCCATAATCTCTCTTCAACAACTCATGTCTGAAACGAGGGCACTTTTTGCGACATGGTATTTTTAATTTGTTTTTACTAGTTGATAATTTCGCTCTAGCAGTAATGGTTTTTATTTCTGTTCTGCATACACTCACATTTTCCATTCAAATCAACACCACCACCAAAGAGAAGGCTCTTTTTCTTCCTTTCCTCTCATCTCATTTATCCAATTCTCGGTTCTATTGTTAGATCGCAATGTCATCGCGCCCAATCTCCAAGCCGTGTATTGTTTTCGTCTCGCATTATAGCCCCCTGACAAAGCAGCTCAATCTCTTATAATTTCAGGAAAATGGTTCAGTCACTCTTGCCGAGCAATGAACACCTATCGACACAGCCATTCATTAACAATTGCTACTCGGAGATGTGCATGTCGAGCGGAGCTGTCGGTAAGTGTAATAATAATTTTTTCATTGATAATATAATTTTGCTGGATTTCTATGACTAATGTTATCAAAAACACAGAGGTCTTTGTTATAATAAATGTTTTTTTCAATTCTTCGAAACTTCAAAAGAGCCACTGGCTTTTTTATCGTAGTAGTGGCAGTTTTATTATATATCGTTAATGCCGATCTACAATCTTGTACTAGAATATTTGAATATTTTGTTTTCCTGTTTAAATTATGCAATAACTGAAAGTGCTTGAAATAGAAGTTGTGTTGGCCTATCGCAGGTTAAAGTCGACAGAAAGGGCTCAAATTTTTCTTTGAATTTCATAAAAACTACTCAAAATTCCAATAGATCTTATTTTTGTTTTCAACATTGGGTTTATGATCCACTTTTTTAACCAAACAAAATTTCTGCCGCTCGGATATCTTCACAATGTTTTTTTTCTTATTTTGTGGATATATTACAAATGAAATCTCTACTATGTAAACAAAATGCGTTCCGACATACACAGTGTAAAATTATGATAAAGTAATTTTTGATTCAACTGGCTTGGCGGCTGGAGGACGGAGCTTTTGTGACCTAACTAAAGCCACTCGCGCCTTCTGGATCAATATCATCTCTTTTATTCTAAAACATAAAAGAGAATAATCATCTTGTTTGCTAGCACAGGAGAGATATCACCAAAGTTTTTTCTTTATGATTTGCCTAGAGCTTTCGATTGTTTGTGTAAAGGCAAGCATTCTTCTTGCTGTATTCTCCACGCGACTTCAACGCCATCATCTAGCAGACAAACCAGTCTTTGGAAAAAAGTGCTTTTGCTGTCATTTTGAGAAAAAAACCCAAAAAATAACACATTACAGCATAACTTTGGGTTTTGCACAGGAGGAAAGCCAGAAGGAAGTGTATAAGAAATCGAATTTCGCATTCAAGTCGGATGCTCCGCCTTCAATTTTTTCCTAGCAGGAGAGCAAGGGGAAGGGAGGCACGCGGAAGGCGACAATGCTCACAAAATGCAAGCAGTGTAAAATCGGTCTTGCTACTTTTACAAAAATTTTCTTATGGTATCGGGTTGTGTATCTGGGCCGACCCCCCAACCTCCTACCTTGACGCCATGTCACTTTAGCACCGAAGAGTTTCGAAAGGCACAAGTTTTGGGAATTGTCGCCTTCCGCACTACACCACAGAGCAAGACTTTAGAAATCTGGACAGGCAGGTCCTAACGCGAATGTTTTGACATGGCGCTGCTTGCGTCTTGCGCGTATTGTCGTCAATTTTTGCATGCGATAACTGGCCTAGCACTGAGTCATTATATGATACACATTTTTCTTAAAAAATCAAATAGAAAAGTTTACGGGTGATTGATTTAGAGTGTAACGTTCGAGCCCACAAGCAAATATGAAAGGGTAAAAAAATGAGGTTTCCTAGGTTGTTATGTAAGTCTTGTTACACTAAGCGAATAAAATCTTCATAATTTCCTCCGAAGATTTTTTCTTCATCTAGATTGTTTTGAATGTTGTCGATTCTCGATATACACATTTCACGCATAACGAGGACAAAATTCCATTTCTGAGATTCTTCAAAATTATTTTTGGCAAACCTCCAACTTGCGTTATTGAAGAACTTAAACTTCAAACCGCCTTCATGTTATTACTGATGCTCCAGAAATCCACAAAAATTTCAAAATGTTGAGAAGGAGGAATCAGAGAATTTTAAAAAAAGAAAAATATGGCGTTAGTGCTTTTGAGGAATTGCATGCACGTTTACTGTCCCTTAGGTATGTAAGGCTAATATGATACCAGTGATAGCCCTTCACCTCTTCCCCGTGTCCTGCTATGGATAAAACTTTGCTGAATTATCTAGAGTTCTTTAGAGGAAGACGTAGAAAGCATAAGAAACTTATGTAACAACCAGTGGCGGACCGAGGGAGGAGGGGGGGGGCGCCCCCCCCCCCCCCCCACCCCGAGAATGGGTCGCGAAACTTTTGTAAGTCACTTATATGGGTTAATGTGCAAGAGACTTGTTTATACTTGTAAATAATTAAAATAACTTTCAAAATTTTTCAAAAATTTAAATTAGCATTGTAAAAAATTTTTTTCGGGGCGTTAGGGATTGGGAACCCGCAAAAATTTTGAAAAACACCCCAAAAATTTTTTCGGAGTGCGAGGCTAGTGCCACGCGCCTTCTTTGGAAAAAAATTTTCGTCCCCCCCCCGGTCCGAAATCCTGGGACCGCCACTGGTAACAACATAACACTTTTCTTATAAAATTCAATGTAATCTGTCCATTATGCATCCTTACTCATGCTCTATGCAAAAACAAACCCCATGCATATGCAACGAAGATGTTAATGAAATTTGTTCCCTTATCTCGCTAGGCGAATTAGTGGTTGGAAGCGCATCTACCTTGCTTCCAAAATGTGCAAGAGTCGTCGTACTTGTCTTTGGTCACGAAATACTATATAAAACCCTTGACTAGTGAAAGAGAACATAAGTGAACCGCTTTCTAGAATATGTCACTACTCTGAGAAAATGTTGGCGTTAGAGCTGTGCCACAGCTTTTTCGCATATAAACGGATTTTTGTTTTTTTTCTTCTGTTTGTGTAAGGTACGCTACACTTATAACAACTAACCGATAAAATTTTATTATGGTTATAGTTATAGTCTATTGTAGTTTTCCATTGGAATTTTTGGAGTCCGTAAGTCTCGCGTCTAGAGACATTAGATAGGCATAAGCTTTGCTCATTCTAAAAAAATAGTCACATAATATTGCAATGTTTCAAAATTTCAACGATGCCGCGTGAAGGAAATTGTATTCCATGCTTAGCGAAAAATTGCAAAAATTTGTTATAAAGTGCATGAATTCCGTCATTCAAAAATCTAGAAGTATGCGAAACCGCGAAGATATCAAAAGCTTCTGAGATTTCTCCTTGTGCTGACTTAATAATTATGCTATGACCGACCAAGAGACATAGAGCTTTCAAGAAATCGAACTAAATTGAGAGCACTGAGAATGATTAAAATAAGGAAACCATTTTTTGTAGGATGAGAAAAAGCGTTAATTCTTTTATCAGAAATTCGCTTGAAACTCAAAAAAGGAATGCATCGGAAGCCACTACACCTCAGATTCTACACCAAGAACTTGTAGTTAGATGCTTTTAGATGTTCTGGAAAGGTTTTCCCTTTGATAACCATGCTCATGCTTAATGGATGACGTACGAAATTGCTCTTTGGCCAAAGCAAACTCCACTTGCTATGTTTTGACATATCTGAGCTATTCATTACAACAACATCGTTGTTTAGCACCATATGTTTTATCGAGACCAATCTTTTCGGCGTAGTAAGCGAATGTGCTTTAGTCTCTGCCCTGTTGTCTGAGCGATCTTTATACAATTTGATCATACTAGAACAACGTTTTTAAGCATATGGGAGCCGATTGACTGATTTAGAGCGCAAGTCTTTGACGAGTGGAGACGAATGGGCATTTTGACTTGGAATTGCTAATTGTTTTTGCTTGGGTAAATGTGAGTATTGTAGGATGTTTTGGTACAGAGATACGTTGACTGAGGCTCAAATCCGTTTTTGACTACTATCAGGAAGAATAAGGGAAAGAAACAGAAAGCTCATACATCGTTTTTTCTTTTGGAAAAAAAATAGATAGGTAAAATGGCAAACTCTATTCCTTATAGTCCTAGGCTCCTCACATTTGATTATATGGTTTACATTTCGATAGTATGGTATACCCAAGTTTCTAAAAAAGTGCTAATTTGAATGTTGTCGGAGAAGACTACGTATCGGGTTGATGCACGATCTTGCATCAAAAAATTGAAAAAATTCAAAATTGCTAAATAAACTAATAACTTACAGTATGCGCTCGCTGTCATGCATATTAAAAGTAGTATTTTACCCTACAGTACACTTTAGAGAATTAATATGAAACAAAATCGATAAGTCAATTTGGAAAAATCGAAATTCGTAAATATTCGCAGAGACCTCCAATCACTACCAACATCCCTTAGTCAAAAAGGTGTGTCATGAAGCCAGACCAAAAACAAAGTTGGATTTCAGTAGACATTTTGGCAATTCTAGTGAACAAAAATCAAAAAAACCACTTTTTGGGTCTTTCCCTTAATCAGCTTGTATCGTGTCATATGCCCTCAATAAATGCAGAAAGCAAAGATTTTCCCTTCTCTTATATATCAAATCATAAGTTTTTCTCAAAGATGGAGGAATTATACTCTAAAATCTTGGTGCAAGAGTTATGCCCAAGATAATATGAGACAAACTAATAATTCTGAAATTAATATAAGTTGTTTTTGAATTAAACATTCAAAAATCATTTTCTCAAGCAAGAAATCATACAGTGCGTCTCAAATATGTGATTGTAAAGCTTCATTCATGACTCTCTTGCAAATGTACTCGCAAATCTTTGAAACGTTTTTGAAGCTGCTCCAACTCCAACTTACAGTGTAGGATAAAATGCCACAATAGATCTACATCTGCTTTTTCAAGTCTCACAGACTTGTGCAAAGCTATCAATTCCATAAAATTTCCTTCACATTAGCTTGCAATTTTTTTTAGTTGCGCATATAGAATGTTTGCTTTTCTTGAGAGCAATGCTTGACAGTTAAAATATACATAGGCGTTCAGAGTTCTTGGCGCTATTCTTCGCTATTTGCGTCATATTGCGTCACATTGCCACTTCAACTAACAATATGTAACTTTTCTTGTAAGTGAAAACCAACAAATCTTTGAGAGAGACCCACTATTTGCATACTCATGCAAATGGAAATATACTCCAGTCAAAAGGTAGAAGCAGCCACGTGGGTATATTTCCGGAAAAACCGGAAAAATTCACACGTGGCAGTATTTACCTTAGCTTCTTATCCTATGTTGACGGACCTTTTTAAATGGTATTGTCGTTTACTTTCACTTGACCGTCACGAGTAAATGTGTAGTCCTTAAGAAGTACGTTAGGTATAAAATACCGTGAGTATATGGTATGTACTTCATGGTTCAGTTATCATTAGTTTTTTTCCATTAGGGACTGAGTAGGAGCGTGGAAATTCTTTAAATGGCAGTGTCCTTGTCTTCATCTCAAATAAAAACAGTTTTTCGGCTTCCGTTGGGAATAAATTCAAAAAAGTTAATCTTTTGGGAGTTTTGGCTTTTGAATAGAACAGCTTTTCGGCTTCTATCGGGAATACAAAAAAAATTTTTTTTGGGAGTTTCAAGCTATTTTACTCAGCGGCATGATTTACTGTACAGTTTATCCTAGAAAAACTCAAATTTAGGCTCAAGGAAAATATATTCCATAAGAAACAGTTTCTTGTTATTTTCAACTTTGTTTTCAGCTTCAAATTTTTTGGAGCCATCTCACCATGTTGTATTGTGAATCACTCTTTCGAAATGGGCAAAATCGTGGCCATCAAGGTTTTTATGAAGGGTTAAAAATTTTCCCAGCTTTTGGCTGTCTTGATTTAATTTAGTCGATTTAGTAATGTTTAATTTTGATTTAGTAGTTTTAATTTAGCAAGCAATGACACGCCAGAGTGTCTTTACACAGCACATGTTGTTCTATCTAACAAAATAAATACCGAGAAAATCCGCTGAGATGACAAGAAGTTATGAAACACAAAAATAGGGCAGCAGAACTTTTGGAGCAAAGTAATATTTGCACAGGATTAACCTCCTTTTAATGTAAAACGCATGAATGGATCCTCCATTAATGGAAATATTACATTCGTTGAAATTTCACTTTTGATTGTAGTTGTATTCATGTATCGAGCTCGCGTTATTTTTGAAATTCTGCAATTTTAGCGTAGTCACAAATTCCCTAGAATGTGCAAGCTATTTTTTAGCATTAGATGCTTAAACATCTTTTGATGTAACTTTCTAGAATTTGTAAAATTTTAAGTTTCCTTTCCGTCAGAATTTTTACGATATACTGGTCAGTGTCCGTGGTGCTTGGCAGAAAATGATTTCTCACTTAGGAAATTCAGTATACACCTTGAATTCGATTTAACAGATTCTTTTGGAGTCGAAAAGGCCATGAGATTATGAATTTTGCCAGAATTATTCCTTTATGGCCAACGTTGTAGACATTTTGAGCACTATCAAGATCACTGACAATACTAACACTATCAAAAACACTCTTCGCCATATTCCACGCACTGTCATTACCGTAATCTGCCTTGTGTATATACAGAGTGTCCCAAAAGTAAGTTCACGGTTTTCGCTCGGTAATAACTGCCCTTCCCACGAACACTTTCGCTCCTCTTAGCTTCAAGTAGCATTCGGTAGAGCATGCTTCAGCTTAGATTTAGAATATGGATCGAATCATGTATCGCTCTTCGTTACTGTAGGATTACGGTAGGAACTTCCAGCATGTAGCGCCATAGTAAAATAGGCCGTTCGGAAAAAAGTCTGAAAATAAGTCTGGAAGGCTGCGTTTTCAGACATGCTGATATCATTAAACAACTTTTTTCGATTTTCTAATGCTTTCAAATGATTCAATCACATTTTTGAAAAAACTAAAAAGCGTTAGTGCGCTTTTCTAACATAACTTATGAAAGCCTTACAATAAGATGCGAACTTCATATGCATAGTCAGCGACTCAATTTAGCCTGACGACAGTGTTTTCAACTTGCTGAGTTCCATTCTAGGGCAAAAATATAGTTATTGATGGCTCAAAACCCTCTTCAAAGTTCCTACCGTAATCCTACAGTAATGAAGTGTGATGGATGATCCGCTCCTTACTGTACCTCTAAGTTGAAGCCTGCTCTGCTAAAACTGTTTTTGAAGCCAAGCAAAAGGCTTCGTGGTAAAGTTGTTTGAAAAGTGTTTACTTACTTTTGGGACACCCTGTATAACAGTTAGGAAACCCTACAAAACTACTCTCTTACCACAGTACCCCTATAACTGGTTCAATGTTCCCGCAAGGGGTGCTACTTTCCCGACCAAAACAAACTGTCCACCTTCGTCACCTACGCCCCCTAACATTTTGACCATACCATGCTTGTTTGCTATTGTTATTTGCTTTAAGATAGCTAACAACCAGTCGGTAATACCCGTAACTTCCGGCTCACTACAAAATGACAGCAGATCCAGGTAAAATGTTTGAATTTTCTTGTTAACAGATAAATACTGGAACTTTTTTATGAGATAAATTGTGCTGAAGAAATAGGTAAATGAAAGGTGAAAAAGGAGAAGTAAATAAACTACAATATAAAAAAATATGTGAATTAGTAATAATTTTTTTTGAGTTGCTTATTTTTTATGTTTGAGCTGAAGATCATAGTTTCGTTAGAAAATTTTCCTGATTTCTAGTCTCAAAAAGCTGTTTTTATAAAGTTGCAAAAAGCTTTAGAATTGTTTCGTATTGTAAAATGGTGATATTCTGAAATTCTAACAATATTATGATTCTACTTTCATACTATTATAGTGAAAATGACAAAAGAGTAACATATATTCAAGGATTAGTACTATGTCCAAAAAATCTGTTTATTACTAGTTTTTTAAATTTTTGAACCAGAAATATTTTTTAACCAGTTTTTTTTTCAAAATGACAATATAACAATTTTATATTTTACTCATTTCAGCCATACCACCCGAAAAGAAGCTTGGATGGATTGTGACTGCGATTTTCATCGTTGCTGACATGGTCGGCGGCGGAGTAGTCGCCATGCCAGTCGCCTTCAAACAATCGGGTCAGGACCATTTCTTAGATATTTTAGACTGCGTGTCGTAACTACTCTAGTCGGTTTTAGGTCTAGTTGGAGGAATCATATTCATGGTGGTCATTGCAACAATATTCGAATATACGGGTTATCAGCTGGGTAAAGTCTGGTGTAAAATGATGGAAAGGTATGCTTTCATCCACGCTCAAAATTCTCCGAATTTTTGAGAAGGAAAATAAGCTTTGGAAGATTTGTGGAAGAGCGTACCGTTTCTCTACAAAATTTCTTCTATCAGAAAAAAATAACTAGCTAAATCTTACTAGACAGCTGCAATAATGCTAGTCAGACATCAATTTTTATGAAATACTGTATCTAAAAAAAGGCGTGTGTGCAGTTTCTAACAATTTTTTATGTCTTTTCCACCTTTTTGAGAAAATCTTAAAGATTTCAAAAATTATGAAAACTTTTTCCTCTCCCCTTTCTGTCTTCTTCTCTCAACTCTCCAAGTCGTTCTTTTGCATAAAGATAAATGAGTAGTTAAACAACCTGGTTTCAGTCCTAAAAAATAGTTCTTCTTTCAGATATCCGCATTTGGGAATATGTCGAAAACCATTCCCGGAAATGGCCAAAAAGACTATGGGTCCTGGAATGCAGTAAGTTCAGCAACCTACCTTGCTAGCCAACTAATATGCAGTTCTAAATGTGTCCTCAACAATTTCTTCTAGAAATTTCACATCAGTGATGGGAAACGTAACGCTGTTTGGTATAGCTGTTGTATACCTATTACTTTCTGCCAACATTATACACTATTTCATCGGACGTTTCACATCACTTCCAATGAGTATGTGTGTGGTAAGTTGGTCTTCAACTCAGAGCTCTGCTTTGTACGAAAACTAACCAAATAAAAGGAAGCTTCTTTTTTGTGACGCTGATTTATTTGAACAAGTACAAGACTATTTCTGAATATGTGAGCCTTTTATGTCATCTGCATAAGAATTAGGGGTTTTTCAAGACAGTGAAATTTAATCACATGTTTCAGAAAATGTCTTCAAAGCTTTTGTTAAATTTGCAAGTGATAATAAGGATGTGGTCAAAAACAATCAAACATCAGTCAATTATTAAGTCACAATCAGACGAATCTTGAGCCATACTCGAACAATTTTGATTCCATTTTACGAGGTTCTCGAGTCCTAACAATAAAAAATTTTTCATTGCAAACGTTGCAAGTTTCAACTTTTATGTACAGAATCTCTCCATTACCTTATCCAAAATCGCAATTTTTCTTCACACAGTATCACGTGCATTATATCCTCATGTATATCCTTCCCTTCCCTTGTGCATACCTTCAAAATCCCATGGGAGAACCCCAAAGAACGATCTTTCTTTTGAGATTAATCTCCAGTGAGAAGGATAAGTGGTACCGTAGGGAAGGATTCAGAATGGTGGATGCAACATTAGATATCTGCGATTGTGGATTCAGAGCAGGGATTGGAAATAGTTCACTCAAAAACAGAAGATAATCTTTTCTATCCTGAAAATCGAAATCCTGAACCCATTGGACCAAAACACCTCTTTGTTGCATAAAAAATTTCATGCGCCGTGCGTTTAAAAAACGAAAAAGAAAGTTTTTTGAAGTTGCTCGTGATAATGCGTGCACTATAAAAACCCTATCTTATAAATGGTTGCTTAAGAATGTCTGCTCTTTCTATATTTTGATTGCAAGCTTGCATCTATCATACAGTCGAGTCATTTGAAAATTCGTGTCCTTGAAGGTCATCACGCTCTATGAGAGCCTATATTTTTAAATAATTCGACTTATGGTGGATGTTCATTTGAGAGAGGAAGAGTGGAAGTGAAAAATGCCTACTATTTAGAAAATTTTCGCACTTTTTTTTTAGGTCATTGTGATGCTTGCAGTCATTATTCTTCCGTTCACATACCTAGGAAGTCCAGGAGATTTCTGGTGACATTCTGTTTTTCTTATATGTTCATGACAAAATAACGAAGTACCCATAACAGGGGTGTAATTGTGCTTGCTATGGCCACTACTGCCTGCTCTGTAATTTGTATTCTGGTTGGCATTTCTATCGACGCACCTGCATGTTTCCCTGAAGTCGGTTATCCTGAACAGACACCCGGTACAATGATCTTATCACTCGGTCAGTAATTTTATTTTTGAAATTTTGCGCAAAGAATGAAATGAAAATACTTTATTGCAGGAATCTTCCTTTTCGCATTCTCTGGGCATTATGTGTTCCCAACAATCCAACATGATATGAAAAATCCTCGCGATTTTACAAAAAGTGTTTTTGTTGGCTTTTTCTGTAAGTTTTCTCCCTGATCTTGAAGATACATGGAAAGAAAGGACTTTAATGTGGGATATTTAGGTGTTGTGATGCTCTATATGCCACTTTCTGTGTTAGGTTATGTTGTCTATGGAGCAGCACTGGAAAGTTCAATCATCTACTCAGTACAGACGAATTTCCTTCAAGTACGCATCTTATCGTTTCTCTTCAAAAATGAACCTATAAAAAAGTTGTATATGTTTCAAAATTTTTTATATGTTTCAAGGCTTCAAACGACGCTTGTTGAGCACACTTTGATCAAAAATTCCCCTCAAAAACTTTCGCATACAACATCGTTTACTTCTCTCAAGAAAGACTTGGCATGTAATCCTTAATTTTTAGCTCGGTGCTAACCTTATGATTGCTGTGCACTGTATCATGACTTTGGTAATTGTCATCAATCCCTTGAATCAGGAAGTGGAGCATTACTTGAAAGTCTCACATAGTTAGTATTCAGTAGCTTCGTTTTGTCCAAAAACGATAATGCGTTGTTTTCCAGCCTTTGGAACTGGACGAGTTCTCACGCGAACGACTGTCTTATTCTTTGTGTTGTTTGTAGCACTATCGGTACCAGACTTCTCACCCGTGATGAACTTGGTAAGAAGAAATATGAATTTTCAATTTGAACAGTATTGTTTTGATCACCTACCGGTCAATTGCTAGCCACGCAAAAGCTGATTACCTTGCCAAGTTTTAGAATGATCGCGGACTACTGCTTTCATACTCATATGTTAGAGATACATTCTGAGGACCAGTAGTCCGCAAACGCGGCGCTTAGCGGCGGTATTCTTTCCTGCGCGGGATCTGCGCGAAGGGTTGACCTCCTTTCAGGAATGGATCATGAAATTTTCGCAGGTGACCCTGAACAAGTGGCTAGAAGAAAATTTGGAAGAAATGTAAAACTGGAAACTCCGACACAACTTTGTAAAACAAGTTGTCCTGCAGCCACGCTACACTTCTTAGACTTCATAGTCGTAAGCAAAAGTAAAGCGTTTACTATTCTGAAAGCATGGACGGAACCTAAGTCTAGACTATTTCTGTCCGCAGCCTAAGGCTCCCGCCAGAGGCCACGCCAGCGCTGCGCCGGCGCCGAGCCAGCGCCGAGCTGCCCCGGCGCCGTTTCGATCGATACACGTGCATTTCATTGGGGCGGGGCTAGCTGATCTAGTTCTCAGCCAGGTAGATGCACCGACTGTTGATCGAATCTGCCAGAAGCCCCAGTAGCCCTTGCCCGCACAGAATCAGCTAGCCCGGCCCGAACAAATGGGAAAGCTCGGCGCTGGCTCGGCGCCGGCGCAGCTCTGGCGTGGCTTCGGCACTCTGACGGGGGCCTAAGACGAAAAGCGCCGAAACGTCGGGCTTTGACCAGCATTGAGAAGATTGTCTGACAAAGAAACTATTGCCGATTCATTGACCGCGTACGGACTGCTCAAACGCTGCGGGTCATGCGCGGCACGGCTGAAATGTTGCGGGAGCACGACTTTTACGACGGCGAACTTGTATTGGAACAAGCGTTTTACCTTGCGGCGCGTGCTCCGCAGTGATGTCCAGTCTGCGCAGTCAACGAATCGACTATACTTAGTAATATTGTGCTTTACGATACTGAGCCGTGACCCGAGGTTGTTAACGGTTTAATGGCTGACGTTTCGGCAAATCGCCTTATGACCCGGCGGAGACGTTTAACCGTGCCACTAGTGTTTAACCCATATAGCTCTCGCTCTGGTATCAGAATTCCATCGGCGTTTTAAAAGGTGAATGTTTGGTCTGGCAGTTAACTACCAGTCTACCTATTCTTAGAGTTTTGTTTGCATGGCGCAGAGACGTTTGGTCGAATAGTTTGCAAGTCGTTCGAAACGTCAGCCAATAAACTGTTAACAGTCTCGGGTCACGGCTCATAACATAAAGCACAATGCCAACATCATGCCGAGATTTATAGAGAGCCGCACTTCCATCTACTTAGGCCCGTATGCATGTACATCCCCGCGGAGAGGAGAGGGGATCTGAGAGGAGAAGCATCATATTTCGCTACTCTGCATATTTTCGTATTCCTTCTTTACCTGTGATATGAAGGTTCTCATACCCTAATACCTGCGCATAATGGATGCCAGGTTATTGCCATACAAGATTAGATTTTCACAACTTTGTGTGATCCCCTGGGGGTCCCCAGGGGATCACCTCTCATTATCAAAGTCATTTATCTTCCTACAAAATCAATGAAAATGTTCTAAATTGTACTGCCAAACATATCTATGGTAGAAATAAGGGGAATCTAAGCACATCGAAGTTTCCGATGAACCGCTGCTCGCGAGCCAGGAATTATCGAAAAAGTGATAACCTTTAGATTCTAATTCTTCTGTCAAAAACATGCTTAGCAGTGTCGTAGTATACTAGTGAATCAGTAATCAAAGGTGCTAGGTGCATTCGCGCGCTTCAGGATCACCACACGGTTTCCCGCTATTTACACATTTTTGAATTGCGCTTACGTTTCTTTATATATTAGATTTGTTGGGAGATAAATGACTTTGAAAATGAGAGGTGATCCCCTGGGGATCCCCAGGGGATCATTCACACTGGTGAAAATCTAATCTTGTCTGACAGTAATCTGGCATCTATTATGCACAGGTATCAGGATGTGAGAACCTCCATATCACAGATAAAGAAAGAAGAAGAAAGGTATAAGAGTAGCCAAGTATGACGTTTCCCCCCTCAGATCCCCTCCCCTCTCCGCGGGGATGTACGTGCATACGGACCTTAGTAATATTAAGTCGGAAAGTTCTTCGTTTTGTTTTCAAAAGGACAGGTTTGCTCTGCTGTAATCTCATCAAAAAGAAGAAGGCTTCTATTTCTTACTTTCTTAGAAAGTTTTTTTCCGACCACTGGTTGCAGAGTTACCCAAGTTAGGCCGCAAAAAATCTGAAACGTTGATCGGACTTCTTTACGGAAACTTGCGGTTTATGAGAGTGCGCTAGGTGATAACGAAGTGAATTACTCAATTTTCTCAAAAATCATAGCTTTTTGTAGAGTTCGAACAGCACAAACTTTTCATAGCTGAAAAGAGTAGGCCTCAAACTTTATGCATTGACGATTCCACGTTTTTCTGCAAATGTGCAAATGCAACAGTGCAAATTTTAGCGGCCTAACTCTGATCGAAGCTTGTAGGTCTTCTTCAACTAGTTTTATCTCTGCAATCAGTGTTCGGAGGAAATTAGCTAAGATACAAAATATAGATACAGATATAGATACAAAAAAAGTAGGACGCTTTTTCTTTCGCAATCACAGCAACGCAGAGACAGCAAAAAATCATGTTCTTAAAAAGTGAAACGACAGAACTTTCGGACCGACCCAATATATATCATTGAAGTGTATGTAGTCAGGAGTGCAGCTTAGAAATGCCATATTATACATAAGCTGGCAAACTCGACTCCGCCAGGCCTTATCAATAATATTCGTAAGGAGTTCTTCCAAGTCAGCATGCTCACTTACCCCCTCCCCCCTCCTGTGCTAACTCCTAGCCTCTTAGGTAAACATTGGAAGAATTCCTTAGAATCGATTTTGATCAATGACGTAAAATAGCTTTTGACCCCCCTCCCCTCCGCCCCAAAGTGTGTGTGCCTTTGGTCCGGATTGATACAGAACCAAAAATTTCTGTTTGGAACATACATACACACAAGAAACAAACAGACAATAAGGTTTATTTATACAGATGGGCAAAAATATGCATATTTCCTCATTTAACTTCAGGTTGGAGCGTCTACTATCCCGATCGGATGCGTTATACTACCATCATTATTCTACCTCTACAGTGAAGCAGCTACTGAGGATGAGTGGAGGAAAGGACATATACCATCTTTGATGAAGTGAGCAAGCAAAACGTAATGTAGGACCTAACTCTATATATGCCTTTCAGCGTCATACGTCGTACCGATAAGACCGTACTCATCGTCAACTTCTTCATTCTGCGTAAGTAGCTCTTTGAACCTTGTGGTGACAATCTAACATCATCTAAAACTTTACGATACAGAAATATGACTACCCAAGTCACATTCAGCAAAACTAGCATCTCGCAGATTCAGCTTAGAACACTTCTTAGGTGCCTGAATGTTGAACTGAACATGAACATAGGAGTCTAAATCTCAAACAGTTCGTAGCAAAACGTTGAAGGAATGGCTCGTGGGCGTTATAACGATTGACATCTTATATAAACGTGAAAACTGTAGGTCCATGGGGATGGTCTTCTTTGATTCATTGTGAGTGGCGGCCGATGGGCGGGACTTTTTGGGCTTAGCACCTCTTTCATAAACGTGCTCTTAATTATCATACCACCACGAGCGTGGGAAAGCGGGACTTCATTTAGTAGAGAGCACAGTTGCGAAAAAGGGGCAGAACGGCGAAGAGGAGCGCGGATGTGGGCCTCATCCACCAGCCGCCACACCCGATGAACCAAAGGGTAGCTCTGGATACTTTTGCCAGCAAGAGGATTATCATATTAGGTTCGCGTTATTACGAACCAGTGGGTTACTTCTGCTTCGCAGATAAAAATCACCGTGAGCTACGCCTCTGTGCAAAAATCTTCTCAAATGCTCATAAAAATCCTATCAAATTGACCGTTTACGCAACCAGTCCTCTTTGGCGCCGTTTTCATAAAGCATGGATTTTTGATTGATTTTTGTGCCTGAAGTTCATGGTTTGCACATTAGCTTGTCAAATATCAAAAAAAAATTTACGACTTCGCAGAAAGTGGCACTACAGACCAAGTTTTGCTGTCCAGAAGCAAAGTGGATCCATTCGACGCGCAATTTCTGGAGAGTCTACTAAACGGATTCGCTCGCTTCATGGTGGACTTTGATGCTGATAACATGTATGCAAAATTTGGGCTCAGAATGTTTACTGGGACACCCGCTACGAATTTCGTAACCGACACATAAACAAAAGCACGAAAACGCCCTGGTTATGATGTTTGGCATGGTTGCTCAAGATTTTGGAAAGGTTTCATTATTAAAAAATTGGTAATTTTTTTTGGCAAATATGCTCCTTTGTAATTCTCTTAATTTTTGTTGACAAATAATTCGAAAAATGCTTGACCATAAAAGAATTTACATGAGCTGGTGCATGCACAGTTTTTACCTTCTTAGATTAGCTTGCGTATTAGCGGGTGGAGGACTATATGTCGCCGAAATGAAGCGGTCCCGCGGTCATCTGCAACAAATACGCACCCTTTCACATGCATGGAGAGCGTTTTTGCAGGGAGTCCGCCCCTGATCTTCCTACATTCGGCGACATGTGGCCCTCCACCACCCGTTACCAGCAATGCTGTCGGGTCATGCAGTAATAAATCTAGTGATAATGTGAATGAACAGGCATTCCTTCTCAAAAGAGCAATTTTTCTTGTTTAATCGTGACACCTTTTCACACATGAAACTCTTGCAGTTGTCGCTATCACCGGAGGCGTTCTCGGCACCATACAAGGGCTCGATAAAATAGCAAAAGCCGAGTTTTCTGCACCGTGCTATGTTCGCGCATTCACATCCGGTTACTACAACAGCACTTTCGAGATCAAGCAAAAGTAAGTTTTTTGTTTTTGAATATGAAAATCTAGTAACTGTTTGCAGTTGTTGTGGTCGTTTTCGGAACATCTCCACTTACGACATAATGTGCTCCGCGTAGCGCGTCTACATGGAAGAAAACCTTACGAAATCGCATGTGCAGCCCGACTCCGCGCCCACTTGCACATAGATCATGACAATGTTTTCTATACATAGTACTAGTATTTAGATCGTTTTAGTTGGACGTTCTAATTCTATGATACTTTGGACGTTTTCACTTTTCTATCAGGATGCGTAAGTGCTCATCGATTTATTGATGGAAGAAATTATAGAAAATTGAGAGTTTATCCTAGCTCACTTGTCCGAGTATTCACTTTACTATGCACAGCATATCCAAGTTGTATCTTGAACTCATTCATATACCATTTATTCGTAATCTTTGGTGTATATAGTGCTAGGTAGTGCACAGCTCACGTTGAACGAGTATTCAAGCAGTAATGCGCGATTTTTCTCAGATTATTTTCTCTTTCTTTGGGTGTGCCTGTCGATGTTCGTTGCTGACGCGCGCGCAGATGAGATAGACTTCTGTGCCAAGTAAGCGTATTTCAACTTATGATTGTATGATTGGAATGTAAGTGGCATCCGGTGATTTACGGTAAAATCGGTGTAATTGTCGTCATCACTACCCCAGTGTGAGATGTTGTTGATTTTACGTTTTGATTGTACTCATTCTGCCTTTTCTGATAAAGATTCTACTCCTTATGTGATTAGGGTTATGGAAATACAGGCTGCACTTTTTGGAACAAGTCAGCAAACTTGAAGGCAGCGTCCTACCAGATTGAGGGGGAACATGACTTTGGTAATAATGTAATATTAGACCTCCTAACGACGACAGAAGTTTGCAGCGCGAAAGGGGTGTACGAAATTTACAATTCGCCCACAAGTGGCCCGGATCTTGCGGTATGCTCGGGCGAGTACGAGATGCATGCAGGTAGAAACGCAGAGTCGTTGCGGGACCTTGCCCTCATGACGTATGTGCTATGCGTGCTCTGGCCTTGCATCGCTATGTGGACGGCGTCCGGGCCTACCGTATGATCCGGGCCACTTTCGGAGCAAATTTCAGGCTTGGTAAACCCCCTTTTCCGCTGTTTCAGTCACCGCTTAGGGGGTCTATTACATCGCCATAAAAACACGGCACCCATCTTTTGGCCCGGACGCTGCTTTCAACCTTGGATCCAACTGGCTTGGCGGCTGGAAGGCGGGCTTTGTGACCTAATTAAGGCCGCTCACGCCCACTACGCCGTCTGCGTCTCTCTTACGTATGTTTTCTGATTGTTACCTAGTCATAGTTAAGCCACGAAGCCCCGCCTTCTGGCCGCCAAGCCAGTTGAATCAAAGTTCACGTAGCGGTACTAACCTTTCATCGTTCTTATCGGGTGACAAATTTGCAATGCTGAGCAAGCGTAAAACATGAAACTTAAGTACAGTTCAATCTGTCTCATCGAAAGGTTTGCGTGTAGGTTACCAAGAGAATCTACCAGTCACTATCACCGATTGAATCTTCCAAATACTAGACCAAAATCTAATAAGGCACTAGTCTCTAGCATTTATTTTTATTTTATTTATTCATACACTCAAAGGTGTGCCAAACAAAAATTAGATTGCAAACGAAACATGTTAGCTCAATCCAACGCGCACTTGTTAGTACGACCTAACCCACAGTATACTGCTATAAATGTTAAATGAGTGGAAAGAAAGTGAGTCCCAGCTCATCTTCTGCGCCCGGTCCCTTGTGAAACCCTTAGTAGGTGAGTGGCAGTGGGGAATGCCACTATTCATTCGGGTAAAAATGAATAGACCAACAGCTGATTTTCGGTACATAGGTATCCTCCGCCCTAACAATCAGCTGCTAGGCTCAGCTGTGGTGGAGATATAAGATACGGAACAAGGGCACAAGCTAGATATAACAAGAACAATTACTAGCAGTAGTGAGGGTGGGTTAGGTGTATAATGAGACAGATGGATAGTGAATCATAAAAGCATAGAAAGTACGAGAATATGCTTTAAATTGACAGAAAAAAATTGAAGTAAAACGCCCAGAGAAGAACCAGAAACCTGAAAAAAAGCATCAACCAAACCAAATAAAAACTAAAAAGTAGAAACCAAATAACAACTTGCAGCACATAAAAGCTAAGCTGACTATCACCGCAATAACGACCTAAAACAAATCACAAAATGAAATCATCAACAAAGGTAAGGACCGGAATTCAAGGTATCAGAAACATTAATCTTTTGTAAACTTCTGTTAAAAGCAGACCCATTCCTAGCCGACAATAATTCAGGAGGCACATCTGGAGGCATTCAGGAGGCACGTGCGCATCTGTAAAACAGTGAATTGAAAAGCCCAGAATAAAACCTTTAGTACATGATTAAACATTCTCTGGTGCTTATTGCACCCGACTATAAGATCTCGCTGCTGCTAAAGGATTATCATGCTGAAATTTCCGTCAATCAACTCCATCTGCTTACTAATGATACAGTGATGCAAACAAACTTCTCCTCTATTTGTGCATTTAGCTCATTTGATGTTTGCACACATTCGATTCTATTCAAAAGAAATTATCACTGCAATTTTGCTCTCATTGAGATTTTAACTGCAGCTTGCATAAACGTTGCCGGGAAGAGGATCGCTGCTTAAATAAAAGCATTATATTTTGAAACTCCACATAACTCTTTTTACTCTGACTACCCATCCATGTGTATTCCTACTAGCTCAGATATTGAACTGAATAGGTGCGGAAAGTTGTACACAGCATTCTTTAGCCTTTTCGTATGATTCCCTAGTTATCCGGCGGCCGACCGTCTTTCCTCTCAAGTCATTTTTTCTTCGTATTCAGTCAATGACATATTTCTGATCAGTACAAATATGTACCACATGAAATTTGTGATGAGCCCACACTGAACCACAATTCGAAAGTTAAGGATTATCGAAAACTTCAATATTTCAGTAACTCATTTGTTATCAGAAACATTGTCAACGCTGTTTAGTTAGATGATCAGTGCGATTTTGACATGTTTTTGTTGATTTCAAAAGAGAAGAGAACGACTTGAAAGAAAATTGGTCGGAAACATGAAATCAATTATTTTGAGCTTTACGATGAGGCTATCTTTCAAGCTGCGATCTCTTTCCTGAGGGGATGTCAATGCATGTTGCCCTACCCATGTGCACGTACATCTCTATAGAGAGGAGTTGGAGCTGAGAAGAGACGTGTCGTATCTCGCTGCTTTGAACATCTCTGTTCTTATTGTCTTTGTCTTATGAAGCTCCTCATGCTTTTGATGACCGAGCATGACGAACGTCAGAACGTTACCATACAAATTGAGATTTTCACTGTTGTGATACCCGAGGAATTCCCGTAAAATTAACCGTAGTTTTCAAAGTTGTCTCTCTTCCCAAAAGTTAGTTGGAAAGACCATGAAGTTGTGTTGAAGATTACTGTGGTGTTGCTACACCTCTTACGAAACTGGGAGTTGAAACAAGCGGGTGAGTGGGCATGCTGGTTGCAAAGATATCTAACAAGAAAAGTCAGGTAACTTACAAGGGAAGTTACTTAACTTAGGTCGGCCTTTTGAAATGAGACACATAAAGTTGCAATCACCTTGAAACGCTGATTTCAAATCTGCTTTCCATAGCTGCGAAGCATTACTTTGAAGCGAGTTATATACTTTTTCTTGAGCAAACTTTGCGTGTTGACCGACTTAGGCATGCTACGGTATCATCATCTAGATACTGGTTAACACATTGACGACAATACGACCCATTGCTGGGTCGTACGTGTACTGCCATTTCGGACAATACGACCCACCGGTGGGTCGTAAGTTCTCGAAAGCTCTAACTTTGCCAGCATGCGATGGAATTCTACGGTATTCTGGCACATGATTGGGGACACCTCGGCGAAGCTCTAGCCGGAGTGGTCCGGGTCCGGGATACTGTAATGTAATGTTACGGTAGGTATACCGTAGATATAGGTGAGGCACAGATTCTAGCTCGAATTTCTCGCAGAGTGGTGCTGTTTTTGACAATTCAAGTTTACATGCACAAGAAATACAGGGAGAGCATGAGACTGATGTCAACCCATCAAAAATTATCGATTTTATTGATTTTATTGATTTTTCGCATTGTTCATCCCAGGAAGCTCAAACCTTGCATATATAGGTTTTTTAGCATGCTGATTACGAAAATGATAGTCTCAAATTCTAATACCGCCTCCTTACATCAGTTTCTTGATTCTCAAAAAAATTCTACCGTACTGCTACCGTATCCCACTGTGGAAAAGTAGTGAACAAAGTGGACACTGTAATTGTGATCAGCATGTGAAATAACCCCAAAACACAATTTTTCACGTCAATCCGTGATGTTGGGCTCGTACAGAGTGACTACCGTAATCTTACCGTATACTGCCAAAAACTGAAACAAATCATATTTAGATAATCAGCGTCTTCGATAACCCTTGTGGGGATATTCTCGGAAACATGTTTTGAATTTCTTCCAAAAAGACTACCATTTCGGACAATACGACCCAAGGGTGGGTCGTAAGTTTGGCAGAGCAAAAAAGGCTCCTGTCCGAAATGGCAGTAATCGAAAAATCGGCCTTGTCGTCAATGTGTTAAAAGCATTCTATATCCTACACCCTATCAAAGTGAAGTGACTCAATTTGATATTATTTCAATCTTCCGCCCTTTTTGGGCAGATTTTCATCGAAAGGCCCTCTTTCCATATTCAGTTATATGTCACTGATGCATACTAAAAAAGCTCACGACTCGCTTTAGAGGAACGCTTCGCAGCTAAAGACATCATATTTGGAATCAGCGTTCCGAGCTGATTTTAAATATATATGTCTCATTTCAAAAGGCCGACCTAAGTTAATTGACTTTCCTTGTTAGATTCTTTGAGATGAGACACAATTTGGAATCAACTTCGAACCCGGCTTCAATATATGTTGTTCTTAGTTGCGGTACATCACTTTGAAGCGAGTTATGAGCTCCTTTTTATGTAAGATCGGTATATAGTCCAACATAGGGCTGTGTGAAGATGGAAACCTGTATGAAAACGGTGGAAAAAAAAATCAAATTGAGTCTCTTATCATTGACATGAATCATAACGCAGTAAATTGAACAATGATACCGTAACTCCAGTAGTCAAAGAGCATGGAACTTTGCACAAAAAGAAACAGCAACTTGCTTCAGAATGTTGAGCCGCAGCTAGGAACAGCATATTTGGAATCAGCGTCTGAAGCTAATTGCAACCATGTTTTCATTAAAAGGCGAATCTATGTTACTTGTATCTTTATACAATAAAGCGCAAGATGACTTTTGTATTTTGAGTTTCTCCCCCTCCCCTTCTTCCCCTCCCCCCCCCCCACCCTCCCTCCACCCTCGCCTTCCCTTCTTCACTGTCGCGACCAATTCAACAAGTATGTAGTTTGTTTCGATTGCACTTAATGCACTCAAATCGATGACCCATCAGCGGATACTGGTCTGTCCTTCCAGATATTGATCAGATTATTCCTACATTCATTTTATATGCCGTAAGCAATATCAACTAGGTCCATTTGCTAAACCTCTCACTTTGGAAAAAAGGAACGTCTTTGTCGGAAAACACAGCAACATTCTCGCTGTGAGGGTAACTATCCGCAATTAGTTTTGAGGGATACTTTGATGGCAAAGTCGGGTCATTGGGCACTGTGGTATGCAACTGACGGCGTCACTTAATAAACACAGTCTGATATTTTTTGCACATGTCGCCCGCATACGCTGCAATTGTTCCTCGAATATGATTATTAATGATTTCATCACCGATACTGAGAGGCGCCTTTCACTAAGTTTGAGGATTCAGAACTTTTGCAGTATGACAGCGGTGCTCCCAACTAAATAGGCCAAATCGCGCTGCAAAAGAAATGAATTTATGAGCGAGAAAATTGCTTCAGAAAATGGAAGGGCCTGGGTGGTTTCCCTCATCAACTTGGGTGGCTTGAAGATAATGTGGTAAATGGAAAAGGGGAAACTAGTTAGGCATTATGAACTGCAAATTTATGACAACTGAGGGTACATTAAAGCCCGGTTTAGATTTTTTACAGACCATTGTTGATGGGCAGCCACTTCTTCTTTTTAGAAATTTCTGGTTCGCAATTCGCGGTACTTGGGCGACTACTTAGTTCAGGGCTTTGTTATTATACAATTTCAAAAGTTCGCCAACGTCAGTTTGAATGGACGGTGTTTGCATACTTTTGTAAACTCAAATTTTTTCCCCAAAAAAAAGTCGCAATAGATTCGCTCAAATTAGGTTTACTTAATCAACGAAATTGCGGCAAAACGGAACCCATTAAATTCGTAATCCTGAAACAGGGCAAACTACAGGGGTACAGAGCTGCGAAAGCTATTGGATTCTGGAATTTGCAAGATGATGACGCTTTGGAAGTAAATCTCAAGGCATTAGTACACAAAGCTTCAGGTTAATTCCCTGATTGGGGTACACTTTAAAGGTTAAGAGAAACTCAAGGCATTTTGGCAGTGGAGAAAAAATTCGGAAACTGATGCTCAATTTGATTTCTGAGGTAAGAAATTTCGAAGCTTTAAGAAAAAGCTTTGGTAACTTTAACGACTTCTGGGCTATCTCAGGAGCAGTCAAGTAATCTAAGTGCGAGTCTGTTAAGTGAAGAGATGATAACGAAAGTGTCAGAACGATTTGTATTAAAGGCGGTGGTTCAGCAAATTCTCAACCTAAAGTTTCCTCTCTTACCTGGGGTAATTTGATGCGCTGATTTTGAAAACACACCCTGAACAGCACGAAAATGTCGAAAACCAGCATTTTCCAACGTCCTCATTTTAAATTTGGACGAGTGGACCACTCCCCGACATGGTTAGGGAAGTAGAGTCGTTGCGGGACCCTCATGTTAATAGCGACGTGGCATGCCGCCTCTGACGGTGGGAGAGGGATCGCAGCTTGTCCGAGCTCGTGTAAGAATGGCTTGCGCGCACGGGTTTAGAGGCCGTTTTCTGGGTAGACGCAGCATGTAGTACGCTCGGACCTGCTCTGTTTTAATGTTTGGGATGCAAGCAACCTTCCATATCGAAATTTTGAGATGTTTGGTTTTGCCAAGCCATTACCTTCAAAGAAATCATCCATAAAATGGTAAAGAAAATTGTAGAGCAATCTGCTAGACTCATTGAGAAGGTTTGCACCCTGATTCTGAGTTATATAGTGTTTCAGCTTACGTGGACATTCCCCATGCTGATTTGGAAACACTTGAAATAAAATCAGAGGACGCGACTATGTCGAAAACACGATTTTTTTTTCAGATTCTTGCATTCTAAGCCTGAACAACAGGACGCATAGCAGGTCAGGGCAGAGTTTTTGTAGAATTTTATGGCTGTAGTATCGCAGCGTGCACCTCCTGATGCTGATGTGGTTATCCGCAAGTGGGCAGGGACAGGGACGGCAAGGAAAAGAGAAAAAGGGGTGTGGGGCGTTTCGCACAACCCCAGCGCCCACACAGGACCACCGCTGTGCGCGACACACTCTGCGGCGGCTTTACCTAAGCAAAGCTGGGGGAAGAACATTTGCGGCGTGTGTGACGTGTTGAAACAAGTCAAATCAAACTGGCGTTAGAGATCGCCCGTGCGAAAAAAAGATCTTCTTTCTAAAAAAGTGAACATTCTATGTCCAGTTGAAGGCCTGTGGTAACCATCACTTCCAAGTAGGTTCTCCATCTTTAGGTGATGTCTTCTGGTTTTCTTGGCTTCCTACCAGTTTATCCTTGATATTGCAGAAGTGCTCAATATCTTTGATGAACTCCGCTCTTATTCTCGCTATTTGATATATCTCACCTTCTCCCGCACGAGACTATAATTGCTCGTAGAGCTCTTTTATCTACACCTGCTTTGCTTTTTTAACAGAAGCTTTTGCAGCGTGATTGGCTTACTGGTATAACTTGATAGGCTTCCGATTTCGTCTTATACCATCGCTTGTACGCCCATCCCCTCCTCCTTTATGACTCTTTTTGCATTTTTTTTACATTTCGTCATTCTGTAGGAGAAAAGCGAAAATCTGCGCCTTTGGTCCATCTTCCCTCGCCGCGCCCCAGGGCTATGTAAAGTAATACTTCCCGCCCACAGAGTTTGGGACTTGAGGCAGCTTTGCAGCTGTCTCTCTAGCAACAACTCCGAATCCCGTCCCTCCCCTCATTTTGATTATCTCACTCTCTAATTCGACCTATCGTTTCTATGTTTATTCCATATTACTTCCCGTATAATCGCTTCGTGTTTATTCGCTTTATCTTTGCAGCCGTACTTATGTAACTTTGAGCCCGAACATTAGCTCCTGCTTGAATTTCTCTATTTCGCACCATTCATACTGCCATGCTCATGTAAGATTCAGCCGGACACTAGCTCCTGCTTGACTGCATAGATGTATTCTGTTCTAAACAGCTGTGTGGGATAGAGTAAATCATTTTTAAAGGCAGTGGATCGGCAAAACTTAACAACGCATGATTTTAACGCAGAAGGTTCCTTAGCGCCCAAATATGAAAAAAACTGCTCTCAAACTTACACGCGCAGGCCATTCTTACACGCATCCGGACGAGTTGGCAATTTCTTTCTCACCATTGGAGGCTGCCCGCCGCAATGCTATAACCATTGGGTCCTGAAACGATACGGCGCCATTAGCCTTGCTCCACTCGTCCAACTTCAAAGGAAATGACATTCAAAAATGCATGTTTTCGCCGTTTTCAAGCTCTCTAAAGTAAATTTTCGGGATCAGCGTATTGAATAACCCCAGGTAAGCAAAAATTTGACTAAGTTGGGATTTGCCCAGCCATGCCTTTAAGTGGTAGCATCCTATCCAATGGTCCATTTGTCGATCTACCCATCCACACATACATCAGTCCATCAATCCATCATACATACATACTACGTACATACATACATATATACATAGGTACATATATATCTGCATACATGAGTTGCTTCTTTCTTTCATAGCTCTGCGTTGGAAACGAAATGCAGATCGATATATAAGCAGGAACTATCGACAATGTGTTATTGTAGCAGATCATAGAAAATGAAATGTTAAAGTTCTTATGATTAGGCAGATATTGGATATTGATTTAATACTTGAACGTTGTCAGCAGGAGATATGGAACGTGGTATGGAACGAAAATTCAAAATTCAAAAAATTTATTTTACAAGCGACGTCACCCATCAGAGAATAGACGATAGTTTGTAAGAACTAAATGTGCAGTAGCAAATAGAAGAGTTAATGATAGCTGGATGGTAGCTAGATGATCCATAATAATCAGAAATGGATACATCGTCATTGAAGTTTCTTCGAAAGAGCAGTGTACAACTACGATCATCGCATCAATGATCCAAACGAGCGCATTTAGTCGTTTTCTGGAAGCAAAGGTTAATTAAGGGTTAAGAAAATCAAAAGTACTAATTTCTTTCGTCATAAACTAGGAAAAAAGGTTTTTTTTCATTGTTGCGCGTCAAGTATCTTGGAGGAAATCTTAGTTCACATCTGTAGTGCTGTAAATCAAGTTTTGTACAACTCATGCTAAATATTTCACTGTGTATTGCAGCTATGGTACTTTTGGGTAGCCTTTGAAACCATCTTGCTGTCGTGTTAAACAAATTATTGAAATTTGCTGATGATTCTTACGTCGAATTCTGGGATAATATACATTGAAAGCTCCCACTCATTCATTTGTGGGGACAAACGTCAGAATCTATTCGCTTTTAGCTTGTTCTGTTTTCTTAGGACTTGAAAGCAAAAAGTGAGATCATATAAGACTTGGAAAGTGAGCTTTTTCAATTGGAATTTTCTGAGGCGGTCTTCATAATCGGGAGGTGGATTTATCTCGGATAAAGTGCGTCTGAAGAGAAACTTGTAGAGAGTTGTTGCTCTTTTTCAAGTTTCTCGATGTGTTTTTTGCGGAATGGAGACCAGGGAGCAATCTTCCACATGTGGAAGTACAAAAGTTTTATAGAGTAAAATCAGAATTTTAGAAGAATTAGTAGTAGTACTATGAAAAAGTACAAATATGCTTTTCCGACCACCATGTCAATTATCTTCAGTGAAGCTAAGTTTGCAGTCAAACAGAACTCCTAAATCTTTGGGTTAAGCCAGAGTGCGCAGCGTACTGGCGTACGTGACGTACACAGCGTAGGCCGCATACACCGCGCAGTCTGGCTCAACCCAGACTGCGCAGATTAGGATTAGGAATTTAGGATTTAGGGCGATTCCACAACTTTTTGGCATAATGACATTGAAGTGGTTGGTAACTAGGTGGAGAACCGAGTATTTGTGCAAACTAACCGTTAGCCCTCAAGTTTCAGTCCAGGCACTCAATTTATCTAGGAATTTCTGCATTTGGTCTGCACATTCAGTGCTCAGTATTCTAAATTCCGAATATCTTGATTTCGTCAGTGTACATGTGAACGCTAATTTGTGGGTAAGCTTTCAAAGCATTTGGCATATCGAGGGTAAAGAAAAGTAAAAGCAGAGGAGATTAAACACCTCTCTATGGTATACTACTAGTGCAGCGGTGTTTTTAGAAAATCTTTGACGGTCATATGGCGATCTTGTAGGTAAGACTTCAGCCAAAAAAAAGTTTTCTGTCAACTCCGAGATTACATTTTTGCTGAGATTACATTTTTGAGTAATTTCCTGTGACAGACTATATTGAAGGCACTGGAGAGATCGACGTAAAAAACATCAACAGATTTTCCTTTATTAATTGCTAGACTCCTATTGAAGGCACTGTCAGCAAGATTGGTAGCGGTAAGCCTTGCTAAGAAAGCCATGTTGTTTATCGGGAATCATACCCAAGCAAGTCAGCCAATTCGACTTCTTATCCCGTATAATATCTTCCATAATTTTGCTAGGAGTATGTAGTAGACTGAGGGGCGATATTCATTTTTAAGAGTGGGCAAGATAGTTTTTGGTATAGCGTTACTATGGCTTCTTTCCTAAAAACAGGTACTTCACCCACCAACATCGAAATGTTGAAAATGTGAACGAGTGGAGCAAGCGATGAAGCACATTTGAGATAGACAATCTGAGGTATACCATCAAATGTTTCAGCGATACAAGGCTTCATCTTTTTAGATGATGTTACGTGATAGATGGATCAAAGTAGACGTCATCACAGCGTTTGCGAAGAGTCACTATAGAAAATTACTGAAAGCATTACAGTGTGCATTTCCATCTTCAGTGAATTATACACTAGCGAAGTACTCTCTTAAAACTTTGCACTTTCAGCATCGCTAATGTAAGAATTGCCTAAAGAATCTTTTAAAATCAAAAGATGTGGATTTTATTTCATTTTGCTTTTCAAATACCAAAATTGCTATAGGCTGCACCAAACAGTATCGGTCCCGCGGTACGATTTGCGGGAACGCGCCGCCGCGAGCGACGTGCCTAAACGCGTGACAGAGTTCGCACGCGTCACATCGCGTCGTCGCAAGGTACCGCAGGCGTGACGTCGCATAACCGATGCTGGTTGGTACAACCTATATTTAGGGACAGGGCTTATCAAACGCAGTGTCGCTTGCATCAGCTTCTCCATTCCCGCGCTGGACTCTGAGTCTCTTCCGCGAACATGTTCTTTGATCAATCAATTCCAGTCGATTGAGGCTCCGCCTTTCCCACGCTTGCCTGGAAAAGTGATCAGAAAGCATGTCCCCGGAAGAGATGCCGAGTCCAGCGCGGGAGTAGAGATGCTGATGCAAGCGACACTGCGTTTGATATGCCCTGTAAATTCTTAACAGCAAAATCTCGTTCATGGTAGGCAAAATATTTTTTTACACGATCGTCTTATATCAGCACAAACTCTTTTATAGAGGGAATCAGAAAGGGGATTGAGCAGTATGTCAAAGAGTCGCTGCTTCTGAGAAACTAAGGCGCGAATGTGTGCGGAAAGATAATTCATTTGTAGTCGAAAAAATTCACGGCAACATTTGGAGAATACTTCGTAGAGTGTTCTGCAAAATCTATTATGTACATCACAACAGGAAGGGTAATTATCAAACAACGAAAGTCATTCGATATTATAGAATTACTTATCAAGAAGAGCGTAATCCACATCAATGAAATTAGGTAAGACTATACAAAAAAGGAGAAATTCTTATGAACCTCAAAGGATAACAATGATCAAATATGACAAATAAATATGACACATACACAAGTATTGACATATTATATGTGACATCAAATATGACACAATGATCAGATGAACCAAAAGGAGGAAACATGAATATTGGCAACGATGGGTTAAGCCGACGATAAGCCGGATACTAAATTGAGAACGTCTCCGGCATGGATAAGGAAGCTAATGTGCTGCTTTAGCCCCCAGATAGCCACAAAATCTAGAAAAGGAGCGAAGGCAGTATTCAAACTCTTCATGATAGACCAATTAAATAGGATATTTAGGTGAGCAGCTCTACTTTCTATATTGACGTCAACGCCATTAACAAAAATGTGTCCTTTGATTATGCAGCAGACACCTCTTCTATTCCCTCTAGCAGACCGATAGTGAGTATAAGACAAACCGGAACAGAAATTATTGAGGTTAGCCAGGTTTCTGTATTGAAGAAAATATCAGATTTATGGTGGCACAGAAAAATTTGTAGAAGATGTAACTTATTGTTTAGACTGCGCGCATTGAAAAAAAAGATTTTCAATTTGTTAGGGTGGGTAACATTCATGAGACAATTCGAAGAAAGGATTCAGCCAAGCACGATTCAGTTTTTGATTGCGAACTTTTGATTTTAGGAATATTTATCTTTTACCACTCGTCCTCTAAAGACCACATAAATCTTGTTCCATTGTGATGTTCCATATTCAGACTACGGCTTGCTCTCGCAGTTCCCGGTCCCATTCCTTTCTCCGCGGGTCTTGACTTACGAATGAAAGTCTTCTCAAGACCGGGGGTGCTGTGGGCAGCTTTCTTCAACTCCTCAAAATGGAAAAAGTGGGATGAGGCGAGAATGGCCGTTGTTGGGTATACCTATTTTATAGATTTCAGTGGGTCTTCAATATTCAGTTTGTCAAGGACCGAAATGACAAATTTTTCTGTGTGTGCTTGACGTTTGATGCTTTACCACTATCAAGCTCTGGCAATTCAGATATAACAATGAAGCAAGATTTTCATCGTTAGAAACTCCAGGCTAGCAGAGTGTTCGACAAAGTTTAACGAACGATTCAAAAGCGGAAAGTTGAAGGTGCTATATCCGCCAGAATAGCTTAGTCAAAAGCCTATTTACTCGCATTGTTCCTTGCTTTCTACAGTCAATGGTGTTGAAGTTTCAGCGGGTTCAGAAAAATTGTTTTCTTTTTTAAAACCACGATATTATGTCAGTTGGGCCGTTGATGCAACTGATGATTGGCGAATTTTGTATTCTGTAGCAAGTGGGACGCGCAAGAGGAAAGCTTATGCTTTTCTTATCAAATTGTGAGAAACGGGACATGTCGAGTGTTCGAGCTCAAGGCTGTTGAGCAATCGTTCTTTGAGACCAGCTTCCTTTCCAAGTGTTCAGACATGATTTAGACGTTTATACTGAGAGCGAAATTCTTTCTCAGTGGTATACTGTAGTGTTTGAGAGATGAAGCTTGGTGATCTCGCGGACTAGTGGTTAGGACGTTACGACAGACTCTCCTCTTTTGTCGCTAATAAACGAATATTACCACCAGCAATAATCTCAGAAGTGTCTGAAACCTTGCCACTGCGCGAAAGTTAAATCGAAATGCCTAATGTTCCTGTATTTGTTCAGAATAATGATTACACCGGGACAAAATATACGAATCTCAAAATCTGCTGTGTGGCACGGCTCCGGTTCTCTATAGAAAGATGATGTAAAAGGAACAAAAGGTATAATCTTCTAATTAGCGTATCGTTCTGATCGTGTTTGGTTTTCTAGTCTCATTTTTATTTGCAGCGGATCTCTCAGGTGGTGCGATGATCTCAGAATTTTGGGTATGTAATGGCAACAACGTTTTGTGCGGGTGCAAATTCGACCCAGCTCAAGAGATCTATGGAATTGGATGATATGTGAACGTCTCATAAGACAGCAAAAATCTCCTGTTGCACTTTGATGGCTAATGAATATCATGTGTAAAGCGTTTGGAATCATAGACAAAAAAGCTACAAAGATCTTACTTTTTACTGCAAACTTTTCCAGCCCGGTGGCTTTCGTAGAGGTAAAAGTGATTTTCGCAAGTGCTTTTATGGATTCTGAAATATGTAGTACACAGAAACTTTCAACTATGTGACTACTAGTAGGTTCGAACTTATCGCGTATTCTCCGTCCGCTGATGCTTTTGTTGCTTCCCTGAGAATAATGAAAAACTCTGCACAGAAGATGAAAGTTATAGCGAATCCAAAAAATACCATAACAGCTGCCATCTTTGAATTACTGAAGATAGTGACGATTTTAACAAAGGGAAGAGTGCTAGATTGAAGTGAAAAATTGTATTCGAGAACATAGGGTATAAGTTCTATGTCGTGCTGAGTGCATCATGAAATGATTGCAAAAATCCACATTCGCATACAGGCCGTAAACATGGTGCGAAAGTTTCCGTTTCTTATTTGGTGGTGTAGTATGCATTCATTTGAAACATATAATCGATTGGTCCCTTTCATGACCTGCGGCTATTTACGTATTTGAGGTCATTGAGGTTGTACCGCAGTAATTCAAGTCCAGAAAAATCGGCCTGGATTCTAAGTCAGTTTGTAAAATATTGAGTTGCAGGAGATTGACATATTTTTGAGAATCGTTGTGTTCGCGAACGAGTGCATGCATCTAGGCATGTTTGTGGCAGTATTAACTTCGTTTTATTTTCAAGCGCAAATTCAGCTTGTGCAGGTGTGTAAGCTATACTAACCAGCATCGATTGTGAAGCTTCGTAGCGAGGCTATGTACGCGCCTCGCGCGCACAGTAACTTGTACCTGAGCGCGAAAATCGATGTAGGGATGAAGTTAGTTGATGAAATTTTTCATGTTCAAAACAGAAGCAGACTTCAAACACAAGTTAAATACTTGTTTAATTTTTGCATCTTTTTCGCTAGCGGAAAGACCAATGGACACTTCAACATGTTGTTTCTCATTGTTGCACCAACTCACACTCGCAACCATTAAAAACTCAGGAGGGTACTGCGACAAAAGGGACCTTATTAAGATGTGTTTAACTATCTTGAGAAAAATCGTTACGGGTTCGCCTATAGTACATTGGTAAAGGGAACGAAAAACCAACGAAACCACTGACTAATTTATGAAAGGAACGAAAATTACAAGAGATAGCAAAGGCTTTGAACAAGTTAATGTTTTGAAAACCTGCATAGGTTGTATTCGTGACATTCAGAGGTATCCCAACCCAAAAAGAAGCTTCCTGGAAAGACATCTTATGTTCGATGGTTACTGTAAGAAAAAGTGAAATCAAGCATGGAATCTAAAGCGAAGGGAAGCAATTGCAGATTTGCAGGATACAGTGACATTTTGCAATAATAAGATTGAATACATTCACAAGAGTCGCATCTCCAGCCACATCTGCGCGCACCTGCCTGGCTCGTGCCTAGATTGCTCGCTACAAGCGCAACTTCGCCATTGCGCTGCGTGCGCGCGTAACCTCACGCGAGGTCCGCCGCGACCGATCGTGGTGGTTGGTACAGCTTATATGCATGGTCAATGCATACTACAAATATTAGGTCGGAAACTAAGTTTTGCAACTACTTTCATAACTCAACTCTCTTTGGTGTGGCGCACGTGGCAGTACGTAAAGCGTAAGGTGAGTTACAAATTCCCATAAACCGTTTGAATTCGAAAACCAATTAGAAAACCAGGCATTTTTCAAAAACTAGTGTTGAGGTTTTTGGGGTTATAAGCATCCGAATTCATCCATTCATTCATGTTTCTAGAGGTTGACCCATTCGGCTCACCAAGAAGGAAACAAAATTTGGGGCAAGTTGAGATTTGACGTACTCACGAATTCGAACAAGTCGTCGCTGTACGCAAGGCCGATGCGGACAACCCTGAATGACTAAGGGGTCAGAATCACAAAATATTCTGAGTCTTTACATATTGAGGTTCTTTGATCTGCCAAACACGAACATCATCATTTGTTGAATCGATGCCTCCTTCCTTGTTTCGGGTGATACCTCATATCCTACACCTACTAATCTTACAAAAAAGCCCTTGGCACGCAGCTATCGGATACCCCCCTATGCCAAATCTCAGCCAAATCTGTTAAATTTTATAATTTTTCCCTTCATATCAAATGCCTATCGTAACCCTCATTGTGATGTCAGAATTTGGTAGAACAGCAGCCGCGTAGTTTACATCATAGCTAACACAGTGGCAAAAAGTGCGCCATGTTGGATGAAAGTCATCGAATGAGTTGCGAAACTTAGTTCCCAACCTAGTAGAACATGTTAAAGTTTGTAGATGTTATCAGTTCAAGTAAAATTACGTTTCTGAATCTGTATTCTAACAGGGAAGGATACTTAGTTAGACGAAAGCGCCAATCCAAATGAGACATATATGTCTTGAAGCTCTTGAAACGCTGATCCCAATTCTGTAGTTTCTAGCAGCGGAGCGGTTTTGGAGAAGGAGTTAAGAGGGGCGTTTCCTTCGGGCTGAGGCGCCCTCCAGCACGTCTTCTTATCTATGAGCACTGTAAAGGAGTACCAACTGGTGGCAAATGGCCTAGTGGTAAGTGACTTGCTTGACAAGGAGAGTGCCAAGGTTTTAATTCTTTTCGCATTCAACTTTATTGCAATTTTTGCAAAATTGAGCTTCTGGCTTCAGAGCCCTACCTGAATTTTTTGATGATATTGATGCTAATCGAGGTTTGGAATGTTAAAAAAAGCCAAAATAATACAAGTATTATAACCCTTATTGTAATCTTCATTCAAATTACTTACCACAGGGAAGTTGCCATTAGTTGATACTCCTCTAAGTGCTCATAGATAAGGGGAGACCTGTGGAGGGCGCCTCAACCTTTAAGGAAAACACCCCTCATAACTCCTCCTACAAAACCGCTCTGCTACTAGAAATTGCAGGTTTGAAATCAGGATTTTAAGCGCTTCAAGACAATAAACATGTATATCTCATCTGGATTGGTTTCGACTAAGTATCCTTACCTTTTAAGTTCAAATCATGCCTTTGCTTGGTATAATCTCAAAGGTTTGTTCTCTCTCTCTTCAAAATTTTTGCCGCATGTTTTATTAATACTTATGCCGTAGCGATACTTTCTGAATTCGATGTCCAAGAAGCTTTCCATCATGAATAAAAAATAGCGGTAACCAGAAAATAAGATGCGCTTTCTGCTAATACTGTGGTGTCTAAAGCTCGTATTATAGAAGGTTTTAGTCAAAATGGCCCTTCCGAATATGCCATATAAATTTGAAAGGCATTAAACGCAGCTCTAAATCTGTCTCTATTATTTGCTGCTCCTTTGTGCGTTAAATTACCAAGTTTCTTCAAGAAATAAACGCAAAATTTTCAAGTGTAGTAATCCCATTTGCAAATTTGATTTTTTCAATCATGAAACGCTCACAATTCGGCTTCGGCATATCATGAAGATGATATGAAACATCGTCTAGGCCCCTTAAACTGGTATTAATTTTATGTGGAAAGGCCACTTCAACTAGTACATTTCCCTTTTTAGACCCAAATTCAGCGTCCAGGCAAAGTGTTAAAGTATAGGATTTCAACATTGAATAACAAATCCTCCTAATTTATCAGTGCTAAAGTAAAAAAGTGCATCTGAGAAACTCAGATTACACTCCGAAATTGTTTCGGACGACAACGCTCCCTCCTTGCGAATCCTGCCTACATGTCCTGCGTGCCCCAGAAAAGTTCCCATGTGAACCAGCGTGTGTACGTGGTGCGATGCTGCCTTTCGCTCTTTTTGACACGTCTCTCCTGAGATATTAACGGAACTGCCGTGCTTTACACGTTCAAAAGAGCGGAAGGCAGCAAGATGACGTGGTACTTGTGGGAATCTTGCAGGGGAACAAACGATATACGAAATTCCAGCGAATTTGAACACGTAGAGCTTCGTAAAGAGCTGGTTTTCGCCATTCTTTCAAACCCCAGGTATGGGCTCATCATGAAAAGATGGGAACGAAATTGAAACTTTGAAATGCTATAGGCGGAGCTTATAGCATTTCAATGTTTCAATGTTAATTTCAATGTTTTGTTTTAAAGCAACTTAAATTGTGCTGGAAGTCCAAGCACTTCTCGTAAGCAGTGAGTTGAAATCAGATACTCAGAGACTTTCAAAAGTACACAAAGAATTCCGCATATCGTGGCTGAACATCAGTAAATGGCACAAATGGAGCAGACAACACTTATAAGCGATGGTTGTTGGAATCTGGTAATTAGCGATTCCACTATGATGTGTGACGATGGCATGCTTTTCATGTCTATAAACTAATTCGTTTCAACAGCGAATATGTTGACAATATGAGGAAAAAACAATACACATTGACTGCCAGCATAGAATGGCGCAAATTCATGTCTAACCGCACCTCCACCACCACTTAAACCAGCATCGATTTCAATTTGTTTGATCGAAGTAACATTTTCTCACAAATTCCCTCGTAAACGCTTTTTTTCATATTCATAACCGTGCAGTTTCTGCGGTCTCGAACTAGAAGTTGACCAATCAAATTCACGACCTGGGTAGGTGGCGAAATTTTTGATAATTCTAGATATTAGGCTGGAAACTGAGTTTTGCAACTGGTTTCATAACTTTACTCTCTTCGGATATAGCGCACTCAAACTTTGGCATTTTGTAGAAGGCAATGTGAGCTACAAGCGAGCACAAATTGTCTAAATTTTGAACACGAAATAGAAGAGTTTTAGGCGTTTTTCGAAAACCAGTGAAATTTGAGAACTTTTGCGGTTTCAATCTAAAATGAAGCCTTTGGCAGCCTAGATCATGCACAGTAATCCGGATTCGTCTGCAAATTATTGCTGGAGGTTGGTTGACTCCTTTGGCCTAATAAGAAAGAAACAAAAATTAGGGGCATGTCGAGATTGGCGTCCTCATAAAGTCGAACGAGTAGATGTACGCAAGAGTCGCTGGGGACGACCGTCAATGACTAAAGAGTCCGAGGCTCAAATTCCGCTGAGACTTCATTCACATAGTAAGTTATTTGACCTGCCAAACGTGAATATCACATTCACTTGTTGAATCAACGCCTTTTTCCTTGATTAGAGTAAGACCCCATATCGAACACCTACAGTAATCCTACAAAAAAGCCCTTATCACGCAATTTCACTATCGTTTTCGTGATCAGCATGTCGGATAACACCCCTATGCCAAGTTTCAACCAAACCCGTCAAACTTTGAATTTTTCATCTTCATACCATGCACCTACCGTAACCCTCACTGCGACGTCAGAATTTGGT